TTTGTTTTTATTTCTTTTCTTTGTAAGTGTCCACTTCAGTGATTTTAGATCATCTCAAAAGGCAAGATACAATTTAATTTCTGAGGATAGTATGCAGTGGCATATCTCCCACCCTGGTCTCCCGGATGTTATGGGTCCTGCTGTGAAGATCTTGGAAGGAGCCTGAGGGCAAGCCAGGCCTATTAGTTAGTAAGGACTTACTGCAATAGGAATTTTATAAGGAACTAACTATGCACCTTAAAAGTACTTCTAGTTCAGTTCTGGGCACCAAGACTGACATAGCTCTTTTGTTCTGTGTTGTATAGCTAATACAATTTTGTTCTTAGCAAAGAAGTTACTCCCTGCCTCATGCAGTAGTATACACCTACGGCCTCCATGACTTGGAAGGCTGAGGCAGAAGGATCACTTGAGTCCCAAAGTTTGAGGATGGCCTGGGCAACATAGTGATACCCTGTCTCAAGAAAATAAAAACAAAAAAGGAAATTACTTGCTTATAGAGCTGATATGAACAATAAACTAGACTGGGGCAAACAAATCGTGACTGTGTAAATACTGTGCTGAAGCCAAGAATCACTTAAAAATCCACACACAATGATGGGGTTCTAGATGATTACCCTAAAAATGGCACTTGAGATCTCTGTGACCTTCCCCCCAACACTTCTCCCTTAAAGCAGGTTGTAAAACTTCCATTCTAGAGGGCCCTCCTTTCATACAGAGGGAAAGAAAACCCTTATCCTTAAAGAAGGATCTGAACTCACAGGCCTTGGTCAGCCCCCATCCCCCAACTTGTTACTATTATGCCAAATCCCTTTTGTCCAATCGTACTTCCTCACAGCTATAGACTTCATCAAGCTTGGCATAAAAATACACAAGTTCTAGGCCAGCCATGGTGGTGCACACCTATACTCCCAGCAACTTGGGAGGTGCAGGTAGGAGGACTGGAGTTCCAGGCCAGCCTCGGCAAAAATGTGAGATCCTATCCAAAACATACCTGCAGCCAGCAAGAGCTGGGAGAGTGGCTCAAGTGGTAGAGTACCTGCTTAGCAAGTGTGAGTTCAATCCCAGTATTGCCACAAAGGAGGAGGAGGAGGAGGAGGAGAGTACACAAGTTCCTCTGATTCTTGGGATTATCCTTTCTGAAGATTCTTGTGTCACACAGAACTTCTATTAAATACATTCACATGCCTTTTTCTTGTGTATCCATCTTTTGTTATAGGACCACATATTTGAAGTTAAGATGGGAGGAAAAAATATTGCTTTTTTTTTCTCCCCTAAAGTTTCTGGTGCCTGAGTGAATGAAGTCACTGAGACACCCCACTTGCCCTGGAGTCTGCAGATGAGATCCCATAACAACTGACACAAAGCCCAAAGAAAATAGCAATTATGGTCAAGGTCAGCTCCCCAGTCAATGTCTCTAGTGCCCTGTCTGGAGAGGAAAGTCACATTTCTTCTTGTTCCTTCCTTTCTGTCTTAGCCCATTTTCTGCTGCTAATAACACAATGCCACAGATTGGCAAGTTATAAAAAAAAGAGCTTTATTTTACTTTCTGGTTCTGGTCCAAGGTTGAGGGGCTGCATCTGGTGATGGTTTTCTTAGTGATGTTGTCCGCTAAGCCTGGAACATCACAATGGTGAGAGATCCAGCTGAATCAGCTCTTATAGGAGATCCACAGTCAAAATAACCCATCAACCCTTTAATAAATTAATTGCTAAGTGGATTGATTCATTCACAAGGGCAGAGTCTTAATTACCTCCTAAAGTTCCCTCCTGGTCCTATCTCTTAATATCTCATAATGGAGATTAAATTTCAACAAGAGTTTCAGAAGGAACAAACCATTTCAAACCATAGCACTTTTCAAATTCAGATTAGCAGGAAAAAACATTTGTTTGAATTGTGATATAAAATAAATGCTTTTCTCTTGTTCATCTGCTGTGATCCTTCTGGCATGGACATAGTGGTGGATGAGGAAAGACACTACTTTTTCTTCTCTACAACATAATTAGTCTAAAAGATGAAAAACTATGTTTTATATGTAGAACATCAGATGTACTTCCTTGCCCTGCCTCACTGAGGGCAAGTACTTTTTATAAAAGTACTTTTTTCATTATTTAAAATTTCCTCCTTACCCCATAATGTAAACATTTCACAACCTACTATGTTGTTAAAGACCCTCCAGTGCCAAAAATAGACACACGAGAGACAAAGAAAATCTTGACAAGGCAATTTCTTTTGATCAAAAGGGTGCAAACACATATTCACTCCAGCTGAGCAGACACGGGAGCACAAAATGGTGACAGTGGCTTCTCCTTATATCCCTGACGCAGTTGTACCTGCCCCTTACCTCGGATCGGTCCAGGTCAAAGGTTTACAATCTCTCCCAATTGGATAAAAGGCTTGGGGGATGGGCTAAGGAACATGGTTTGGTGGGCAATGGAGCTGTACAAGAATCCGGAAAAAGAAATAGGAACCTTTTAAACAATACCCGCTATCCAAGATGGTGACATAAGGAATTTTAAGCAATCTAAGATGGTGACAAATACTTTGATAGAAAAGATCGCTTTTCTTACAGTATTCCCCCAAAATGAGAAACATTTCCAAAAAAAACCTAAAAATAAATAAAAGTGGTTTTAAGAAATCTTGTGGTCCACATAAATACAATTGTGATTTTAGACCAAAGAAGTCCAGTTTCCCAGGAGTGACTGAGAGAATGTGCACTTGACATCCTGGTGGGCCTTTTTAGGTGAGGACTGGTAAGTATCCATCTTCAGCTGATCCCTCTGCATGGAGTTGTTCAGACCAGCTCTCCACAAGGGAGGATCAGAGAAAAGAATAGGAAGAGCTGGCAAACCCACGATCTGCACCACTTTGGGACTTGCTTCATGAGTAACCCATATTCTTTCTTCCGTATATGTCTTCTTCTGTGTACACGGCCTCAGTTTCCTCTCCTGTACAATGGAGAACATAACTTCCCACTCATGTGACTGTTCTGAGGAATAAAAGTGTTCTAATGAGAAAAGCACTAAACAAGTGAGAGCTAAAAATACACTCATGCATTCTTTAACTATCCAGAATACATCCTGAGAAATATGTCATTAGGCGATTTTTGTCATTGATGACATCATACAGTGCAGAGACTGAGAAGATATGGGTCAGTCACTCTAGGTGGCCTTTCGATGCAAGAGACATGGTAAAGACCAGACGTATGAGGCTGCTGCTGGCATAACATGTACACCTTGTGTTTAAAGATTGTGCATTCTAAAAAATGATAGAATTATAATATAGTAAATATAGCAGTAGCAAAGGCTTTTGTTATCAAGTGTTGCGCACTGTGCATAGGTGTATTGCTGTATTTTATATACCAGGCAGTTCAGTAGGTTAGTTTGCACCAGCCTCACCAGAAACACCTGAGTAATGCATTGGCTTATGGGTAAGATGGCTACAATGTTACTAGGCCGTAGGAATTTTGTCACCTGCATTATAATCTTATGGAACCACCCCAATATGTATGGCCTATCATTGACCAAAATGTCATTATGTTTGCAATGCATGACTATAATAAAATATTTTAAATATGACAACACAGATGTCATTAAATAGTTTAGTTAGAAAATCTGCTCTACATTTCCTACATGTGATAAGAAAACTTCAACAAATATTGAATATAGTTGCAGTAGGTTATGATATAAATTTACTCTGATTTTAAATTTAGCATTCCTTAGATTACTATAGATTATGCAAAACTATATTTTATTACCAGAGCCCAGATCCCTTTTTCTTTTGAAAAATGGAACATCAAGATCCAGAAAAAGCTTAAAAGTACACAGAACCCTTTTCATTTACTCCAACATACCTTCCCGTTTCCTCTGATTTCATCCCACAAGAGTCACACAGCTTTTGTGCAAATAAAGGGACAACTTAGTCTCCTCCCTTTGAGCCTCCATTGTGCCTTTTTTTCTGGTTTGAAATGTGAAGGTTCTTTTACAGTTAGTTCTGTACCTTTTCTTCTTTTTCCTTCTGCTACCTAAGGCTTAGTCTCATGCCTCCACTGGAAAACTTTACAGAGCCTCCAGGATGTAAAATATCTCATCTTGATATTAAGGCTGAGTTAAATTTAAAGTAAAATGAATTTCATAATCGTTGGCTCTGTGTTTAACCTCCTTTGCATATTTTATTTTCTTCGGAATATATTACTTGGCTCACTGTCTTTTTATTGTACCGTTCATTTGAAATTCTCTAGTCATTTTAGGCAATACCTAGCAAAGAGTGCAATTTACAGAATGTGGAGAAATGAAGTACTATCCATGAATAATATACACGATAATTAAAACTTTTTTTTATTTCACTGAGTTCTAGGAAGTAAACAAAGGTTAGTTAAAGTATGAGTTCCCTTACATTTATTTATTCAGGGTCCCTGTACACAGAGTTCTATTTTAGTGATTATGGGAAATAACCAAAAATATGGAAGAAATGACCTCAGCACACAGAATGACTCATGCAAATTAAAGAGGGTGGGGACTTTCAAGAGCTTTGTCCAGGTTCCCTATTTCTAGTTAGGTCTAGAGTTATCAATAAATAAGGAATATAGTTCAGTGTTCTGACATCTGTGGGTGAGGGGATCTACTACTCAGTAGGTACACAATAGCAGAACTACATAGTGTTCTGGAGTGGATGAAGAAGAGCAATCCTGTGTGTGTGTGTGTGTGTGTGTGTGTGTGTGTGTGTGTGTGTGTCCATGCATCTACATAACTTCCAGGGTTTTCAGTGAGGAGCCTCATCCCGCTTCTCTTGCCTCTGGCCTTCAAATTATGTGTGTAAAGGCCTGGCATAGTGGTGCATGCCCACAAGACCAGTCTGGGCTACATAGCAAGACATTGTCTCAGAAAAACAAACACAAAAAGAATTAAGTGTGTAGGCTGTCTTGAATCAGCAGTAGACACAGCTTTAGGGAAGGAAAAAAGTATGTTTTCCAATGCTTGACATGTAGTGAAGACATGTCCACTTCAGAAAAGGACGTGGTCTTCTGTGGACATCCTGAGTGGCCCAGTAGGCCTTTCCAGGGGCAGGGCCAGCAGCTGGTTCTCTCTGGAGATCAGACTTGAGAATGTGAGGAGTGCACTCCCAGCAACCAAGTGAGGCCTCCATAATGCAATGTGACAGTGTGCCCAGGGTTGGCAGGCCTGGAGAAAGGGCCAGAAAGACTATAGTTAGGGAAGGATTTGCATAATTACATTCACCTGAGGGACTCCATTTACCCAACAATGAGGCTTATTGTAGTAAAGCCAGCAGCTGGCCATGCTGTTGAAACAATGTGAACCTTGGCCTTGCTCTTTGAAAACAAATGCTTGGACTCTGAATTTAAAAAAATGACAATTAGCATTTCGGATGGTATAGAGTTACGAATAATCCAAATGTTAGAATGACGTGTAAGACTCCATATTGTGAGGCATGTATTTACATGTAGTGCCTCTATTATTCACACTATAGCAGGATTACATACTATTAAAACTTCTACATTTGTACATGTGCTGTGTACCCTGTAGAGAGTTTAACATAATATCACATGTGTACTTGAAAAACAAGCTTTCTCTTGATGCTTGATAAAGAATGATATATCTTTCTCCGTGTAAGACTCTCACTGTTTAAAGTTCCAGAACAGTGGCTTTTGCTCTTGCTGCAGAAGATGACAATGGATTTGAAAGATGCTGATCAGAAGGTAGAGAGGAGACTCCTTATGGAAGAGGCTGCAGTGCTCACACAGCCACACAGGCTGTGGCTGGGGGAATGTTTACCTAAGACTCCAAATAGACAGAGTGGAGATATGAAGACCTAGCACAAATATTGTGCCGGCTCATTTCCTGGTATTGCCCACAATTACATTGAAAAGGGAGGTGCAGAGAGTGGAGTCTCTGTAGGTTCAAAGACAATTCTTTTTATTGTGCCCAGAAAAATTTGCATTTTGTCCCTGAAAATTAGAATTTGGGATGCATTTCTAAGTAGAGAAAAGCCTTAAAGGGTTTGCCTATTCTCAGCTTCATTCGAGTACACGTTTGAAATACTACTTTTGTAAGCATAGCACCATTGAAATTTCTTTTCATATTTTGTTGAGAATTTGAAAAATGTTACAGCTTTTCAGTTGGAGAAGGAAACTCGACTCCTTTGAAGGTTAGGGGAGAGGGGAAGAGGATCTGCTTTTGTCATTTCCTGATTTTCTGATAAGAAGGGAAGCTATAAGCAAGCAGGATTCCAGAGCCGGAAGTCAAATACTAGATCTGTGTCCCTGACTCTGCCCCTGGCTTCCAGAAATGGCATCCTGATTAAGGACAAACTCAGTTGGTTCCTGGGAATGACTAGTGAAAGACACCTTGCTGCCATGGAGAATGTTCAGGCAGAGAGAGCAGAGGTAACACATTAGTCCCCAACAGGACGATGCAGGGACTGCCACACCTGGCACACACAGGAAGCCTCAGAAGGGCTTGTATCTCAGGTCCCATCAGTTCTCATGACCCACTACTCCAATCTCTGCTCCATCAGCTCCCCACCCCACACCCTGCCACTGAAGGGAGTTTCACAATTGAAAAATCTTTCCTTGAAATTCTCCTCAGCCCCATGGTTCTCAGGGCAGTGGTCCTCAAGCCTGGTGTCACATTAGAGCCATCTAATCCCAAGACCATCCCAAACCTTCAGAAACAGGATTCTCAGGGACAGATAGGACACAGAAAGGAAAGCTGTATCTTATATATATAGTGGTCTCCCTTACCCGTTGGGGCTAAAGGGGAGAATGTCTCCTCAGATTTTCCTTGACCTTCTTTTCCCATTTCCCCCCACTCAGAATTTCTGCTCTGAACTCTTTCTTTGATCTGTATGGCAGTCTCAACATCCCATGTCTGTATCACGCTGTTCTCTCCTTTCCTTGGGCATTGTCACCACCAGGTTGGCAGATTAGTGGATAATACAGCTTAACTGGCGTTTTGGGATGACAGAAGTGCAGGATAGGAAGCACCATGATACTCATTGCCAGTCAACACAGCTCCTAAAAGACTTGGCCCTTGCCACTATGAGGCAAGGTAAGTGGATGGTTACTGTTATTCTTCTACATGACTTTATCTGTCCCCTGCCCCAGAGGCCTTTCTTACCATCTACTATCCCCAACCCTACCCCAGTTTCAAATTGTTCCCTGTTCTTCAACCTCCCCTCCAAATCATCCCCTCTTGGGGCACTTCTTTCAGGAACAATCCTGAAGACACCCAACTGGAGGCACATGTCTCAGCCTCTACAGGGCATCCTGCATTTTCAGATAGCTTTGTCCTTTTTTGCACAAACCTCACCGTCTAGCCAAGCCCCTCTGCAACTTGTATTTCAAAAATATTGTTAAGAGTGTGTGTATTCCCAAAAGAAAGAACTGTGTCCTCCAAGGATAAATTCTGTAATTTTCCCCACATGGTCAGATTGTTAAAATTGGGAATATCACCCTTCCTGGGACCCTTGTGATGCAGCCGGTTGATCCCCTGGCCATGTCTGGGGAACTGTGGTCTCCTTCCTGGGAAGGTCCTTATGGGGACCCCACCTGTTGGTGCATGGACTCCTACTTCCCCAGAAGAGTCCTCTCTGCCTTTCACTTACTGAGTCTTTCAGTGACACCACTCAAAGTAGCCTTTCTTTGTCACACCCCCATACTTTGTGCCTATCCACATGAAAGCATGCCATAGTGAGACTTGTTACTTTCAGACTCCCCAGCCTGTCCAAGAGCACCTTGAAGGCAAGTCTCATTCACTGTGCTGTCGCTGGCCTCCAATGTTCTTAGAGAAGAGTGGAGCGTTTCTTAATGTTTACTAAACGAAATAAGATGTGGGATGATCACTATTTCTTGGATGAGGGCATTAGGAGGTCATAGGTGATGCTGGTCAGGCTGGAAGAAATGTTCACTGGGGACAGGCTGCCCTCGGAGTTGCTGCCCACGGCTGTACATGATGGGCCCTGCACATGAATGCTCGAGGACAGGGTGGGATACAATCCACCTCACCATTCCCTCCCGGCTCACCTCACAAGTCCTCCATCCAAAGGAAGGCTGCCACTTAAGCCCATCTACCAGAGGGTCGTGGTTTCACAGCTCCTCTGGAGGACGAGGCCCTCTCGAGTTCACTCTGAGGCACTACCCTAGCTGCAGGGCACCCACCTCAGGAGAGAGGGGCCATGGTTGGAGCCCTTCTGAGTCATTTCGTGTCTTTTTCTCTGTGAAGGGGAAACCTATCATGCAGTTATGTGAGGGGGTGAGGAGGGGCATCCTCACCACGGATTTGGAAAATGGCAAAGAGCCAGAGATGTTGGATACATACTTCAAACTCCACATGTGCAAAATGGAAGTCCTTGCTTCTCTTGGGTAGCCCTGCCTTCCTCCTGCATTTCCTTCAGTGGGCACACCTGGCTGCCAAGCTGGACAGTGCCTCCCCCACCAGCTTGCAGTCTGCCCCAGTCTTGTTTGGCTCCCCTCAGAAGGCTAATTCTGATGTCTTCCCTCCTTTCTTCCACCCCTGCCCTGTCTCAGCCTATCATCTTTGTTGACTAGACAACACCAATTGCCTGTTGTTCAGATGCCATCTGGATCTTTCTGGAAACAGAATCTGATTCCTCTGGTTAAACACTTATGTGCCTCCTTTACTCTCAGTCTACAGATGAGCCTGGCCTCTCCAGCATGGTGTACAAGTTTAGGCACTGCTTGCCCACCTGCCATTCTGCCCTTTCCAGCAGTGCCCACAAGCACCATGCTTTAGGCAGGAAGGAGGGTGCCAGACTCCCTCAAACTTCCTTGGTTTTGCACATGCTGTCTCCTATACCTGCACCTTTCCCCCCCTTGTCTATTGGATGCATCATTAGGTGACTGTGAATCCCCCCATCCAGTATTTGTCTGTTTTCTGCACAATGTGCATACCTCATTGTAGCACTCAGTGTCTACATGTAATCACCATTTGTTTTAACTCCCCTGTGGGACCTTGCCATCAAAGGTGTCACTTGTTTTTTTCTCCCCACTCTCTATCCAAGAATCTAGCACTTATATTTTGTGCAAAGTAAACCTTTGTTGACATTCTATCAACATTGGGTTATGGAATGGTACTCGCTAAGCGACAGACTGATTGTAATGTCAGAGTGACATATATGCGGCACCCCACCCCACTTTTTGCAAAAGAGAGAAACATAGCTCTACATTTGTCACAGCTTATCTGAACATAGAGAAATGTGCAAGAGACACCCTGATTCACTCAGTAAATGCACCTGGGACGGGGGAGGGATGGTTCTCTAACGCTCTCCTTTGAATTGTCACAAAGATCTTACATTGCTTGGGTAAAATTGATTAGGAGAAATAAAGGGTGGTTCAACGAGTAAACGGGCCTCAGGAAAGATGTTACTGTTGTGCACATCTAAGAAGAAAACTGAATCCTAGAATGTATAAACTAGGGTATTAGCACTCACCTTGTAAAGGACTTAAAAGAAGCATCCCCATGTCTTCTATAAAAGGTGATTCTGTTGAAGTTCTTATGGGCTGTTAATAGATCAGTGAGCAGTGTTTCAGAGAGGGGTGGGTGAGAAAATTTGAGGAGTTGGTGACAACTGAAGATCAGACAGAAATGAAAATAAACTTCACTTTTATTACAGTATGTGTGAACAAATTCAAAGTTCACACAGCTTTCCTTTTTTGGTGGTACTAGAGTTTGAACTCAGGGCTTTCTGCTTGCTGGGCAAGTGCTCTATCACTTGAGCCACACCCCCAGACCCTCCTCTTTTTTTTTTTTTTGCTTTAGTTGTTTTTCAGTTTAGTTATTTCTCACACTTTTTGCCTGGGCTGGCCTGGGCTACATCCTTCTACCTATGCCTCCTATGTAGCTGGGGTTACAGACACTCATGACCATACCCTGTCTATTTGTTGGGATGGGGGTCTCACTAACTTTAGTTTTGTCTGAGCTGGTCTCAAACCATGATCCTTCTGATCTCTGACTTCTGAGTAGCTAGAATTATAGTTGTGAGCTACAGGACCTGGCCTTCATACAGGCACTACGTGGTGTCAGGGACAAGGAGCAGGTGTCTGGCTTCCTAGGTGAGGTAGATGGGAAAGGCCATTGGCGCAAAAGCACTTTACCAAACTGGCAGATATCATAAGCAAATTTCCCCCACAAAGCAAATCCTT